GAGGTATCTCTACGGCCTTTACCACGGCCTTTCCCCCCGAAAAATATCTCATCATACTGATCATCTGAGAGCCTCTGGAGGAAAGCCGAGATGCCTCGTCCATTCAACCTACGGCGACCCCATTTGCCTTTACCTTTTCCTTTGAAGCTCCTCCGTATCCTCCTCCTAACACGACGCACTGGCTTTCGTGTGAACCTCCTCCACCTCCGCTTTGCCTGTTGAAATAACCAGAACAGGTGTTCGGCACGCTGACTGCCACCTTCCATTCGCATGATATCTGACCAGTCTAAAGGTTCAATACCATCTGATGATATGGTGTCGGTGTCGGTGCCGGAGTCGAAACCGTCATTTTCTAGGTGGGTGGATGCACCGTCGTTTAGGGGATTCGCTTCCCCCCATAAGGAACGGTGTGGTTGAGGTTCTCTAGGGGGAGGGCTGGTTGCCCAGCTTGGTTGTGATCGATCCCCTGTTAGTAGGGCAGTAGACTCTCCAGGATCGTCGGCCCATCTGCTTGCGGGCCCGTTGCCAGGCTGATCTTCGGTGGTTAAGGTAGCATAGAAATTTCCACTACCAGTTCCCCTTCCCCTCCCAAACACTGATCCTATGTTACCAGGAGACCGTTCTGACAAATGGCCTATCGAGCGCATCCTCTCGCACAACTCATCATGCTGTTGTTGTGTTCGGGGCATTTGGTGGTTAAGTGGCTGCAAGGATTACATGGCTCTCTGGTTGCCGACGCCTAGGGCGCGGAATCGGATAGTAGTGGGCAGTTGGAAGCTGGGAAGGTCAAACCCCACCGACTGCGCCTCAAGACGGGCCATCTCGAACCGAGTGAGGGTTACATCGATTCGTTCTCCGTGAGGCACATGAAAGTCGATGAGTTGTGCGCCTGAAGTGAGCTGGCGCTCTTCGCCCAGGCGTTCGAACTTCATGCTTAAGAGGAACCTGATGTAGGTTGCTGGGTCGGTGTGGACACCATCGATGTCCGCACCGTAGTTTAATGTCAGGTGGTATCCTCATGGCGAGTGTCCTCGCTAGGCCACCCAGGCCGCGATGCGTGGCGGCTGCTTGGGCCTGTGGCGTCATGCGTCCGCTGGCGACGTTGAGCCACGCGTTGACCTCATAGACGTACTCGCGGAAAGGTACGTTGCCTTGAGGGTCCCAGCATGGGCCATGTGTTTGCCCATCGGTGCTGCTGTCTCCTCGGCGCATGCGTCCGATTGTTGCCCCCAGCGCAAACCATATAATGGCGAAGATAACCAGCCCAAGGCTGTGAAGATATGGGTGGTTATCAGGCGCGTTGCCGCGCTGGGGTAGCGCCTTGTCAAGTCTTCGAAGCGCTTTATCTTGTGGGTCCCCCCGCCTCTGCTTCAAGTACTGCGCTTTTGGCTCGTTGCCGAGCGGTTGGTAGTAGCGTAGTGATGAAGCGTATATGGTACCAATGTTGTTGTCTAGACGTCGTACCTCTCCCGTTGCTTCTTGCTCTTGAATTGATCCTCGTACATGTAGTTGGAGCGGTGGCGCAGGGTGGTAGTTGGTCACGAAGATCGTGCCGGATAGCGTGAGGATAAGAAGAGCAAGAGCTGACCACACGAGAGTGCGGCCAGCTCCGCTACCAAGTCTGAAGTGACTATGGTAAGTCGAATAGCATCCGAATCCATGGGAAGCGGATGGCAGATAGCGCCCAATGTCATGCTGGGGTAGTTCAGTATGGGGAGTGGACGCATAAGATAGGATAAGATCGATGTAATGATCTTTCCATCACATAGCGAACACCAGCAGTGTCCGGGCAAATAGGGCGCGCGTGCCTTGAGCCAAAGGCAACGGCGCGCGAGCTATACTCCCGATCCTATATAACACCTCCCAAAGAGCTACCCTTAAAGTAAAGTGCCCCCAAGAAGATCCCAACCGCCTCCAAGAGGCGTCACAAGGCATCGAAACTGCCTCTTTCAGGCCCCAAAGCCGCCAACCACGAGCGCCCAACCAAAATCCACGACGCCTCTGACGCACCACCCAGCCACACTGGCCAGACACGCCGAGAGCTTCAAGATAGCACCACGAAAGCCCAAAATCACCACACACAACATCAATAAGGCCCGAACAACCCACACTCATTCATGTTTCGCCTCAAGTTCGATATGTTTTCATTTCGTACAAACTAACCACCCAGAGTTCCACTACGCCCTGCCGCGCACCTGCCTCACTTCGCCGCTTCCTCTAGCGCGGTGGCGGATATGCGCGGCAGCGCAATTGGATGTTCCAACTCGCGGCCCCGACCATGCATATTTGGCGGAATTCCACAGGCGAGACCCAAGGAAACTCGCGTTGGGGAAGAGTTGCGTAAGAGCTCGCAACAAACATCGACACGTAATGTAATGCAACCGAGCTCTCCGAACGACCATGCGCGACGCAGGTGGCGCGCACGCACCCCGAACGTTCACAGGCATGCGCATTCCTAGTGCATTCCTGATGATCCTCCTCGCGCACCAAGACAATCACAATCAGCGAACACGACGAATGGGAAAGAAGAAGGAGAAGGAAAATAAAAAAGGAGGATGGGGAGCCAAGAGAACGAAAAAGAAAAGGAGGAAAGAGAAATGCCCAGAATAAACAGGAGGAGCCAAAGAAGAACGAGGACGATCAGGAGGACGAGGACGGAGACGAACAGGAGAAAGAGAAGAAACAGGCTGACAAGGGAAAAGGAGGAGAAGAGGAGAGGAAAACGCGGAGGAACAGTTCGCCTTCTGAGGCCATCCTACAGGCCATCCTACAGGGCATCGTGTTCGCCGCAACCACTCCCCCCAAACACCTGTCTCCCTCTTCCCCCCAAGGTGGCCGACGAACACCAGTCATCGATGCGCATTCACAGAGCGGCTGTTTTAGGACGGGCTGGCGGGGACTGGCGAAACGTCAACAATTCCCCGTCCGCTCGCCCCAAGGAGCCTGTCACAGCGGGAGTGCGTGCGCAGGATGACCTGGTAGGGCAGCGCTACCCCTGCCGTGCCGTAACGGGCCAACGCGAATCTCATGACCTCGCCAGCATGGGCGCCGCGTCGGAGCTCACCCTCATGCGACCCCAACGCCAACCATGCATCTCCGACGGTCCGCAGATGATCCACGCACGCTTCGCAAGCGACACGGCGCCCCTCCTCTGACGCCAGCGCCTGATTACACCATCCCAAAAAGGCCAAGAGCTGAAAGATACAGTCCGCCAGGGTCGCGCCAGCTGCGCGTCCCAGACCGCAACCAACGCGGCGGCCTGATCCTGCCATGTCCTCAGCTCGTCCATCGTCGGTCTTTGCCTCGAACGCCAACGCCCCCATCAAAAACTCCATGAATTTCACCGTGCGGTCTTCCACCACGCGGCGCCGATCCTCCACGTCGTGAGCGCCCAGCAGCTCTTTCCGCGCGACACTCCACCCTCGCCGCTCACGAACCCACTTCTCTCTCATGACACGCAGCAGTGGCGCCGTTTCACCGCGCGCTCTCCACAGATGCGCGCGCAGCTCTGTAGGCACGAATTCCAGACCCCGGAATCTCCCACGCTTCGGGCTCCTCACACGCACTCCGCAGAAGACGCAACGCGCGCACATCAGCTTCTCGGATGACGCGTACCGGTGCCAAGAGATCACCAGGAAGGACATGAACTGCTCGCTCACGTCCTGGCCTGGCGGCCACGCCCTCCATAATGGGCCCCTGCGCGTTCTCTTTCGCGGTCGTCGCCGTGCATGAGGTCGCAGTCGCGCTGTCACCGCCTTCCTTGCCCCTTCTCTGACCGCCGCCAGCCTGGGCCAAATCCGTTCGATGCCCGTCCCTTTTTCCTCCCCGGACACCACCACCGACCGTCGCAGCCGTACCGAACCCATGAGCAGGCCCCGCCGACGTCTCTTTGTGCGCGCCCACTCCTCCGTCGTTCACATCGGCAGCTGCTACGTTGACACCGTATCCTGCGCACTGGCCGCCGCACTCTGCCCCGTCGCTGCATTCTCTCCCGTTCCGGGCAGCCACCAGCAACTTCTTCCCTGTCCGACTACTGTTTCCGCCACTGCGCGCGCTGCCGCTGTCCCGCCCACGCACCGCGACCATTTTCACTTCCATGCGCGACGGAGACGGCGTTTCTCTTGGAGGTTCCGGTGCACCTTGGTCCCACAATATAGAAGTAGGTGCGTCCGTCGGTCTCCTTAAAGGGCCACAGAAATTTCAAATCTGAAGATTGTGAACAAGACCGAACTCCGCACGCGCGCGCGTGGGGAGATCTGTGTTGTCCACAATAGAAAAGTCGGTGCGTCCGTCGGCCTCCTTAAAGGGCCACGGAAATTTCAAAAATTCAGTTTTTGGAATTACATGGCGGCGTTCCCAGTGTGAACAATGCAGAACTCCGCACGCGCGCGCGTGGGGAGTTTTGTATTGTCCACAATAGAAAATTTGGTGCGTCCGTCGGCCTCCTTCAAGGGCCACAGAAATTTCAAATTCAGCGTTTGGAATTACATGGCAGCTAAAGATTGTGGACAATACCGAAGTCCGCACGCGCGCGCGTGGGGAGATCTGTGTTATCCACAAAATAAAAGTCGGTGCGTCCGTCGGCTTCCATAGAGGGCCACAGACATTTCAAATACAGTTTTTTGAATTACATGGCGGCCGGCACTCCGCACGCGCGCGCGCGCGGACGCGCGCGCGCGTGGGGAGATCTCTGTTGTCCACAGTAGAAAAGCTGGTGCGTCCGTCGGCCTCCTTGAAAGGCCACAGAAATTTCAAATATAGTTTTTGGAATTGACCCCTCTCGGTTTTCTGGAGGGTGGGAGGGGGGGGAGAGGGTTTTGCCGCGGGGAAGGGGGTGGGGGTCCAGCAGGGGAGGGGAGGAGATTTTCCGAGGTGGCAGGGGGGGAAACCCGGGTTCTGGAAGAAGAGGGGGGGAATGTTTACACAGTAAAGCGGCGGTGGACCACGCTCTCTCCGATATCTCGATAAACGTTTCTTCTATTGACCTAGGCCGCTCGTTTCCTCCTTCTTCTGATGGGGGGCCTTCTGGAGCGGGGCTATCTGGGCAGTCTTGGAGGGGCTGCGCTCGCTGAGAAAAATGGTGCGAGCCTGGAGCCTGGATCTCGGGGCTTCCTCTGGCGGCGCCCAGTTGGTAGGCGCCTCCAGTGTTTTAAACGTCGCCTCCATTCAACTGGCCGGCGCTCAACTGTGGATCGGACTCTGGCTCACTTCTCGGCGAAGGCTGCGGCGAGAAGAACCCCCAAAAATACGACAGCGGTTGATCGGACTCTGGCCCACTTCTCGGCGAAGGCTGCGGCGAGAACCCCCAAAAATACGACAGCGATTGATCGGATTCTGGCTCACTTCTCGGCGAAGGCTGCGGCGAGAAACCCCAAGGTCCGTCGAGGTCCTCGAGGACGTGACCCTCGTCCCTGTCAAAGAGCGACATGCTCATGATGCTCCCGAACTTCCAGGACCGCGCCCCGCGCCGCTCGATCAGCGGCCTGATCATGTACTCGGGGTAGGTGCGATCGGGTCCGCTCCGGCCGTAGATCGAAACAGTGGCCGTCGCGTGGCGCTGTGGGACGACGGCAGTCTCGACCTCGGCGGTACCGGCGCTGGAGCGGACGTCGACGCCGTGCGGGTCGTCGTCGTCGTCGTCGCTGGAGCACAAGGGCGACGTCGAGGGGGAGGCCTCTGGGGACAGGATCCGCCTCGGTCTCGGCGACGGGATGATGTCCCTGGGCTCTGGCCCGCTCGCGGGCTCCACGACCGTGCCCCTGAGGAAGCCCTGCTCCGCTCCCAGGTACACCTGCACGGGCATGCCGCGGTCGAAGCGCCTCCGGAGGCGCCTGCCCGGCATGCTCTTGAGCACGGGCAGGTCCTCCTCCTGCATCGGGCTGCTCTCGGGGTTGCTGCTGGGGTTGCCGTCCTCCTGTCCGATGGGCAGCCGCGGGACCTGCGCCGGCATGCTGCTTGTCAGCGCGTCGCCGCCAAGCGGGGGCACCTGTGGCACCGAGTCGAGCTCCGCGCTGCCGGCGACGTCCTGATCCCTGTTCCTCCTCGGCCGCCTGCGGCTTCCGCGGCCTGGTCTCTCCTCGTACTGGTTCCCCTGGAGCTCCTTCTGGGCCTTGAGCTGCCTGGCGTACTCCAGCATCTCCGTCTTGAGCTCGCTGGGCTCCAGCGCGACGTCGTACCCGAGCCTCGGGTCCCGCGCCTCCCTCGGCGCCGCGTGTATGATGGCCGGGTACCAGTCCCCGTGCTTCTTGGAGAACACGCTTACCTTCTCACTCACACTGAACGGCAAGCGCAGGTCCTTCATGTCCACGTTGGGTACGCGCTGTCTGGCGGCCATGACAAAAAGGTCGTACGTGAAGACGTTCATGCCGTGCTCCTCGCTATGGCGAGGCTGGCCCCTAATGTCCATGACCCTCGAACCTAACCACGAGTTCGTGGTCTTAGACCAATACTCCACAGCGTCGCCGATCGCGTATGCAGCCGCTGTGCCCTTCGGCTCGGGCGCTGCCTCCGGCTCCGACATGATCACGGTCTCATCCGCCCCTCGCCTTCGTGTCGGCGCTCTGCATCATGCATCCTCGTGGCTACGCAACGGTGAGGAGACCCTCTCGAAGGTGTCCTGACCCTTATCACTGTTCCCCCTTCCAAATACAAGCCTAGAAGTCCCCGTCGAAGAAACCGCGTCCACGCTCCTACCAGCCAGCACCTCCACGATCGCACCAGGCCGCGCACTGGATGCACTGGTCGAGAGCGGCAGGACCTCGTGGCAACCTCTCGTCCCGGCGCTCGGCCCAAGACGACTTGCACTCTGGGCTTTAGGCATAACCCCCCAAGCCCCGCGTCCCGCCTCGCCGCGACCTTCAGACGTACTCTCCGCCTCCGGCGTCGGAGAGGAACCAAGGTCGTGCGGGAAGCCGTCCGGCCACGCGCGCTGGATAGCAGGAACTCCTCGCCGATCTGCCAGGCGGCGACGCCCCCGCGGATCAACAGGCCTTTCGCCTTCCCGACGGGTCGCATCGGCTCGACCTCGGGGTAGACCTTGGCGACGAGCAGCGCGTTCGTGGCCAGGGTCCTCACTCGGACCTCGAGCTCGAACTCCACCTCGCCGCCCAAATTCAGATCCACGTGCTCGATGGGCTCCCCATCGCTCGGCGTCAGGATGGCGCGGCCCGCCTCCCGCTCGCGCTGGAAGAAGGCGAAAAGCCCATCGCCGAGCGAGTACTTGAGCCTCGTCTTGGTAACGCCGTCCTCGGTGGAGAAGCCGTCGTCCAGGTTCCAGTCGACCATGGTGTCCCTGCTCTCGCGGCCCTTCACCTTTACGCGGAACCTGCCGCCGACGGGCTGCCTGCACATGTACCTGACGTACCGGATGGATAGAAAGCAGCAGATGGCGGAGGAGAAGGCGATGGCCGCGGACACTAACCCCGCCTGTACCTCGCAGCCTTCGCCTGTCTCCTCGTCCGGGCCGCTGGGGCACGTCCAGTCGTACGGGCACTGGATGTACGACTTGCATGCGAGCGAGCTTGGCTCGAACGAGTCCTGCGTGAAACCTGGGGGCGCGTTTGCGTTGCACAGGTTGGTGTTGCCGGTCAGGCAATCGACGTCGCGGGTGACTTCGCCCTCGCCGCACGTCGTGCTGCAGACGGACCACTCTGTCCTGGCAGCCCAGCGCGCCACGGGCACGCTTTCGAGAATGGTCACGGGCTTCCCGGCGACGACCGCGGCCGTGGGGAGCCCCGCCGGCACCGCGACGCCGACCTCCTGCAAGAAGCTGACGAAACTACCGGTGAAATTGCTCGTCCCGAGGTCGGCCAGGCCACCCTCGACCGCCGTGCGGTCGTTCATCGGGTACAGCTGGAGCCACAGTTTGACGAACAGCCCCTCCTCTCCTGTCAAACGCCTCGCTGGAATGCCAGACGCGGAGTCTGAATTCAGGTCCTTCATCTCCAGCAAATAAACCTGCTCTGGGAACAGGCCTAAAACGTCGCCGAGCGCGCTCTGCATCGGAACCCTGGTCCCGCCGCCAGCCCACTCCGCCGTAATGCCCGAATTCGCCTGACTGGCAACGAACGCAACCTCCACCAGCAATACCTCGACACGTTCGAGCGCCTCCGCGTCCGCATCGGAGACGCAGACCACCGGAATCATCTCAAACGAGCCCAAGGTGCAATTGATTGGCTCAACCAGCTGATGACCGTCATCGCAAACTGGCGAGCACGACTCACGGCTCGCAGTACCAATGCATGACGGACTTTCCCACTTCAACAGGACAGCGCGAGAATGCTAGCAACGCGTTTCTGGTCAAAAGACCCGTCTCCCGTTACAGATGTAAACAGTCGGCTGTTCACTGAACACTGGCCATGAGTCCCAAGTAATTCTCGTAGCCTCGAACAAATTATCTGCATGTCTCGGTAATCAATGTTACGCAATTTCATCCTCTGTCTCATAACCGGATCGGCCAATGCTGACTGCCACACAGGGTCACACGCATCAGCACGTCCCTCTAACATCTCCGTCCTCGTCGCTGCAACCATTGTCCCATGTCAACATGCCCCACACACAACTGCCCGCAAACGTCTCCATATTTAATGCCCGAGCATTCGATGCGTACTATGGTATCCAACCCCGATGATGAAGTGAAGCCGGGTCCACTTATCCCTACAGGAATGACAGCGAACATAGGGAGAGCACATACACAGCAAGTTGTGGACGTTAACGTGGAGGTCACCGACGTGGAGGTCACCGTCGTGGAGGTCAGCGTCGACGTGGAAGTCAACGTCGCTGTAGTGTACATCCAAAGTTCCACCACGGGCACCGACGATTCCACCCACTCCACGATGTCACTAGGAAGCCCTATCTCATCGAGCTCATGCTCGACAAACTCATGGAACTGCGAAATGTTGTCATACAAACGCAACAATGTCTCTTCGGCCTCGTCCGTGTATGTACCCTCAACTGTAATTGTGTAGTCGATGTCCCACACTTGACTGGCCAATCTTCGTTGGAACGACACGCGTTTTGACGTATATCTGACGACAACGGAGTTGATCGTGACCTTCGACTGCGACATGTTCAAGAAGGTTGCAATCGCTGCACGAACAACAACTTCTACCGATGTTTCGTTTAGGGAGTTTGTGAAAGACATCGCGACATCAGCCTTGACGAAAGAAAAACGCTCAGGAGTCGCTGTGGTGGTGGTGATCGTGCCAGTGGTTACCGTATCA